AATACATCATGATATCTAGAAAATCAAGTTAATCAGTGTGAACATTTTCATCACCAATTAATCTTCGAAGAAATCGGAAACATCAAGATAATTAATATCAAGGGGTTCATAATGATCTGTGAAATGCATCAAAATTCCTTTTCCTTTTTCTTTTCAAGGTTTGATAAAGATCCACTAAATGTTTAGACGTATGACAGGTATGCGACCAATGCCCTACCATGTCATGTCTGTAACAAGCGTTTTCATGATTCTTGGAAGGTTTATTCTGTAAACCTTTTTCATTTTTTTGTGATATTCTAGAATTATTCCACTTCTGGTGGAATGGTATGTTATTTTTTTGAACATATCCCCCACCGAGTCGGTAATTATTTCGACCTTGGCCATGTCCAAAACCATGACCTCTCCCTTGTTCACGGCTATAAAATGCAACCTCATTCACTTCAGGGAATGGAGCAGAACCAGTTGGATGGGATAGATGATTTCTCAATAACAATTAATTAGTTTTCTCAACTACAAGAAATAAGGCATGAAATCAGTTCAGAGTATTTTGAAAAACAACGCTCTCTATATTGTTGCTGCAGGAGCACATTATCAGCATGAAATGTGGAGAATGTTTTTTTAAGCATATCTTTTTCAGTAATTTTTTCTCCACATAATTTTAATCAAGACATTATTTCAAATAAAGTAGAGTTGTACTCACTAACTGATTTAAAATCTTGCAATTTCAAGTGCAACCAATCATAACGAGCTCTTGGGAGGATTATGGTCTTTTGGTGCTCGTATCGCTCATTCAAATTATTCTACAGAATTAATGGATCTTTTACCGTGAGGTACTCATTTTTTAATTCTTCTTGGAGATGATGGCGAATAAATATTATTGCCTTTGCGTGATCCTATAGGGATGCTTCATTTTCATGTTTTATAGTATTTCCAAGATTCATTGCCTCAATGTGGATCTCAACATCAAAAATCCAAGATAAATAATTTGTTCAATAAATATCAAGAGCAAAGAATTCTAATTTTAAAGGATTTGACATGTTTACTAAATTTAACAAAAACAATATATTTAGTATCACGTAAATATATGAAGGAAATATAAAATTAGCTTTAGAATTTATTTATACTTACTACAACCACCCAGTAGCTATGTCTTCTCAGCTCGCTAGAATCTCGTACTGATAACGTATTATAAAATTAAAGAAAATAAAGAAGAAAGAGCCACAATAGAAGAGGAAATAAAGGATCACACATGTAATATACAATTTTTCTATATCTTCATTACCATACAAACTCACCAATTTATAGGTGATAAAACCTTCACTATTCACCACTATAAATCACACCATGTGGTTTACCACATGACATACCACACTTCCCACATGGTAAAACTTTCTCCTATTTCTACTTTAGCCTAAAACTCATTAGAATTCCAATTGTATGTCTTTTGATGGTTATCCAAATATTCCACAACAGTGTCACTTTCTTTCTTTTTTTTTTTTTTTTTTTTGTTTTTTTTGAATTACATGAGGATGGGAGTTGAAAAAAAAATTACCAACACATGGAGGGTTGCAAGTGACACTTGCACCACCACAGTCTTTTATTTGCATATCATTACAGACACTTGCAGCCCTATATGTTTGTAATTTTTTTACCCAATTCCCACTTGCATATAATTCTTTTTTTTTTCTTTTTTTTTTTTAATTTTTTTATCTGTTAAAACTCCATATGATCTTGATGAAAAATTATTGATTGGTTTTAGGGTATTACGTGGTTATATCTTAGACCAATTGCAAACTCTCATATCCTTTTATATTTCTTAATCACCCAATAAAATCACGAGTCTCATCTCTTTACTAATTGTGAAACGCCATGTAGTGCTGTCCTGGACCAATCAATAACTTGCGGAGCTTGACACCATAAAACTGGACAGAAGATCTGAATGACCAGACAAATTTTGTGGGGACCACATCAATTATTAAGTTTGAAAAACAAGAAAATAACCCTCAGTTCACTGGTACGAGATTTTTTTTTGAATTTTCTTCTATAAAAAATATTTTGTGAAGAAAATATTTTTATATGTTTAGTAGTGATGGCGATAGTAGGACGAAGGTGGAAGTGGTGGGATGGCCATGGTGGTGATGACAATAGTAATTAGGGGTGTTTACGGTTCGGTTGCGGTCGATTAATCTCTAATTTGCCATCTGTTCATTGGATTGGCGGATTGGAAAAAATTAATTCACATCCGTCCGCCGAATTGGTGAATGCGAATTGAGCGGATTGGCGGATGAATACAAATCGATTTGACGGTTTAAACTTTCACAAATTTTGAACATAATACAACAATTAGTTAATATTTTTTTTTTGATAACAATTCAACTCAACATAACCAAAAGATTATTAAGTAAATTGTCAAACACCAATAATAAGTACATATAAAAAAATCGTGCATTATCAAAACTATTTCATTACTTTTTTTTATTCAAAAACTATTTAATTTGATTTTTTTAAATAATGACAAAATTAAGCCTTATATTTTTTACACAAAAATACCAAATATCAACACTTGCCATTTGATAAAAGAATTTCTAAATTGAAAATACAACAGAATATCTAAACTCTTTTTCAATTGAAAATATAAATAGAATATCTAAACAAATTGAAAACACAAAGTCTTACAAATTACTAGGGGTGCTCGCGGTTTGACGATTTAGTTACGGCTAAAGGAAATTCAAATCCGCCATCCGTCCAAAACTAGGCAAATTGAAAAAAAATCAATCCGCAACCGTTCGCTCGTCATCATGCATCCGTTCAAAATACCGTGGATCGGCGGTTCAGTTATGGCTAAAGGAATATCAAATATGCCATACGTCCAAAACTAGGCGGATTGAAAAAAAATCAATCCGTAACTGTTCACTCGTCATCACGCATTCGTCCAAAATACAACGGACCGACTCGGTTCGATTCAGTCGATTTGAACGGATTGAAATATTCGCTGAGCACTCTTAATAGTAATTGTGACAATAGCCCTGCTGGTGGTGGTGCGGTGATGAAAGTGAGGTGATGATAATATTATAATATTGATAAATTTTAATTTGAATTTTTTTCCCGTCTCTAAAAAATTTAAAAATATATATTTTTTATTTAAATAAACTTATTTTTTATTGATCATAAAAATTATTTTTCATTAATTTTATTTTTTTATCATCCCAAACGTCAAAAAATATATAATTTATTTTTTAAAAATTATTTTATGCCCAAACAAATGAGACGTAAGTTTACTTTTTGTAAATTATTAATATTACTGAAATATTTCGGATCCCCTTTTTTGGGGGATTTCATGATCTTAAATTTGATTTTGACCCTTGACATGTGTGTGAGATTCACTTATATATGTGTGAACCCCATTATAAGTAATTGGAATAAGAATGCGAGTTATGGGGTCAGATATGTATGGGATTTCTACCATAATTGTTAATATTATACAAGATTGGAAAAAAGTCATCAAGTTTACTTTTCATAAATTTTACCGTTTCTTAATTTTTATTTGTAACAATATTTAAATATTTTTATGTCGCGAAGTGAAATGATATTGAAATTTTAGATTTTATAAAGACCCTGTTTGATGGATTTTTAGTTAAAAATTAATAATCAAAAAGTAAAAACTAAATGTATCTATTTTTTAACTTTCAAATAATTTAATTTTTTAAACTTATTTAAGTTATTTATGCCTAATAATTTATAAGTAAAAACTTCTTTAAACCATCTGATACAGACTCTTAAATTAAAATAAGATATAATTACCTTCTAAAAGTTGTAACAAACAGCTCTAAAGTACCTAGTGAACAACTGTGAAGGTGTTTGGCAAGAAAAAAAATAGCTTGGTTTACGCTAAAATTTACAACAAAAAAAAAAAAGAAAGCAAAATAGACCAAAATAGTTAATAAGGCAAAATGTCACATCAAACTCATAATCATTTTACTTTTTCTCTCACAAAAATCACATCTAACTATAAAAAAAATCAATCACCTTTTCAAACATAAAAATTTTAACCTATTAAAATAGCCAAAAACTAAAATAGTTTACTAAAATAGCAATTTTTCAAACACCCATTATATATAAAAAACAATTTAAAAAATTTACTTAAAATTAACTGTATTCAACACATTAGGTATACAAATCAAATTTAAACAACTTCATTTTCAAAATTTTACTTAAACTCAGGTGTCGTTTAGCATACAAAACTTTTAGCCTCAAAGTCAAAAAATTATTAAAAAAATCAAAAAACTTATAATTTATACCAGAAAGTCAAAAAAAAAATTTCTCTTTACTTTTTGCACGTCTTGTCAAAAGAACTAAAAAATCATTCCAAACATATTAATTTTTTTACTTCATATTTTAATCAAAAAATTACTAAAATAACATATTCTCAAATGAGACCTCAACGAACTCGTAAACCCTTAAAAATGTCAAATTACTCAAACTCTGCTCAATTAGAGTTAAACTAAAATCAACTAAAAAACTAAACAAGCCAAACTAGTTAAGTTTTTCAAATTAAGACCTCATTTGACATGTTATAATTTTAGTTTAAAAGTCAAAAAGTTATTAAAAAAACTAAAAAGCCTATAGCCTATGTCAAAAAATTAAAAATTTTCTTTTCTCTACTTCTTACACATCGTTCTGTAAAAAATCAAAAAATTATTTCAAACATACTAATTTTTTTTATCTCATATTTTAGCCAAAAAATTAAAAAATTATTAAAATAATATGTTTGCAAACGAAGCCTAATTTTAAGCCAACTGCTACTCAACTCAACTTATTTATAACCCTACACATGATGAAAAAAAATAAGGTGGCATAATGACATCTAAAACGTCGGTCAGATAAAAAAAAGTATGCTATTCAAAATAAAGAAGTATACAAAAAATCGCACCACATCATGAAGGATCCAAACATATAACATACAAAAATGCAATGGATAGTCTTCCTTTCACTCATAAAACTAAGATCCAAACATATTGTAAGAGAAATTGCACCACATCCTCGGTTCAATTGTTTTTTTTTTTTTTAATCTCATCTCAAAAAATGAATTGTCTTGCATTAAATGAATAATAACGCTATTGACAGGCCAAAACAAGGTAGGAAATAGCCCAATTCAGAAACACTCTACAACTATGTGAGAGCTGCTACTCAACATTTTGTTAATTAATCAACAAAACAATCACACAAACACGCCTTTCAAACTAAGCAAGTGAAATGACTAAGCTATGTCTATATATTTGTCAAGTAACAATCTCATCAACCTCGGAATGAAATACAAAACTTGGGAACGTTGTGGTTATATCCCTGCATTTTATGAAAACAAATAAAACTGTAAAATTAAAATCCCGGTTTTGAACTCATTGGCATCATAATGTAAATGGGATAAACTATGATATAGTATTACCTTAGGTATGGAAGTGTCATTATCTTCAACAGCGAAGGGTTTTGTCTCACGAAATTCTGCCACTCAGATTTATCTATCTTTCCGTCCTGATTTACATCTGCTTCCAAAAATGTCTGCAGACAAAATTTAACAAAAGAAAAAATATGCATATGAATTTATTTTATTTAATTGAGCTTATAGCATTTGACAAAGCGAAATGACGAAAAATGATTTATGTTGCCAACCCCACTTGATCGGGCCATAAGACTTATTAGTTTCGTTTGGCTATTAAAATAAGGGTTCAATACAAGTTCAAACTTCAACAAGGGGTGAGAATCCAAATTATATTGTTATTGAATGGACAGTCCCTGTAAAAAAAAATGGCACATTTTTTTAAGTATATGGAAAGAAGCTTTTTTTTTTTTATCCTCAAAAATTTGACAGTCAGTAACCACTCACCTTATCAAGTATTATCTCGACGGTCTCATCAGCCAGCTTCATCCCAGACTCACATAGTAGTGCAATTAACATTTGCTTCACCTGCAAAAATCACATAAAATGAATATGCGTGCAAGGAGGTTACAATAAAATATAAGTGAATCAACACAAGTCCTACAATTAAGTCCTCGTTGTTTCTCTTCAAAAAGTGAATATATGTCAACTAGTTTTTTGGGCTACAAACTATCAAACAAGCAACTAATTAATCTCTGAGATGAAACTTTTTAAAATTGAAAAATAAGAATTTTATCAGCAACCAGCAGGATAGAAATTATCTGAAGAGGAAGGAAAAAAGAAAGAAAAAAGAACGAATGAAGTTCTGCATCGGAAATGAGGAACAATTTTGGTATTGTCTCTCATTAATCTGAAGTCAATATATGCTGCAAAAACAGATGTCACAACAGTGAAGTACTGAAGCCAAGAAAAATGTTTCTAGTTTCTTTCAAAGTGCATCCGAATTGATTTATTTCCCAAAATAAGTAGAAACCAAAGAGATCCATGAGGGCTAGAACGCAAGTGTAATGACTAAAATACAGACACTATCGTACCAATAGGTCAGGTAAGGACTATTTTGTATTATGTTACACTGAGACTGCCCTCTGTTCAGAAAGAGAGGGAAGATGTGAGAAGCAATGTCTATTGGTATACACTCATGTAAAGTTATGAAGGCACATAAAAACAATGAAAAATCAAACGTAAAAATCATAGAGTTCAAATTAATTTAGTTGATATGATGCAAGTTAAAAATGTGTAAAAAGGTAAAACAATATACCTCTTGCCGCTCAATAAATCCCGTTCCATCCAAATCATAGAGTTTAAATGAAACTGCATGTAACATAACCATGGAGTATAATTGACTCTGTATCACATTTGCAAAACTTGGGATGCAATCTAAGCTAAATGTACTATACTCTTTCAACTTACAGTCAATTTTGTCTTCATGTGGGGCATTTGGGTGGAAGACGCTGAGTGATTTAACAAAATCACCAAAATCAATGACTCCCTTCTTCTTAACATCAAATAGCTCAAAGATCTGGATGCAAAATTTATTCAATTGCAAAACAAGTAGAAAAAGATTGACATAACGAAGATAATTGTTATATGTAATAGAATACATACAAAAAAAAATTTACTACAGAGTATTCTTTTCACCAGCTAGCTTAACATACTTAAATCACCATGCCCTCAATTAAGTCAAACTTGTATCTAATTTAGCACCTACTAGACCTACTTAAGAATGTAAAACATCCAAAACCCCAGTCCAAGCTATCTCCAATTGGACTCGCATGGACATACACAAGTACAAGACTTACACATATGTCTACATGTGTGGACATACTATGTGTGTCCACATTGACACAAAAATCGCCTACACTGGTCCAACACAAAATCTTCCATCAATCTAACGACATTCAAGTTGCAAGAGCTTGTTGACACAGGCAGATATGCAAATTTAGTCAAAATTTTCACAAGGCTTCTCCACAGAGACACAGAGTAGGTTCTAGACTTGTATTTAAAAACAAACAAATCGTTAACTTGGGTTGTGGTTAACATTGGCTTTAGTTGCCCCCATGGCTTTAGAAACATGAATTTTTTTATCCCATTTGTTGAACTTGTCCAAATCCTACTTTTTTCAAATTTTCAACTCTATGGCTGAATTTGGGAAATCTTAATTCTATTTATTTTTAATTAACTTTTGAGAAAATTTTCCAAAATTATTTATTTGATATTCAGTTGAATTCTCAACCAAATTAATAGATGATACCAAAAAATCATTTTTTTTGAATTCAGAAGTTCTCCTAATTTCATTGAATATTCCGACTTCTCGGCTGATTTTTTCTATCCAAATTTTGACCAATGCAATTTTAATCAACTAGTTGGAATCCAACATTTTTTGCAAAGTCATCATAAATATGTTCAAACTTGTGTACTTATCAGTTAAAGTGTGTTTTTCATTGCATGTAAAGTAATAGTAAACAAAGATGAATTCAGTGGATGTATATAAGATGTTCTTTTTCACAAAATGAAAAATACCCCATTAACTTTAGACACTCTTTTAAGGACTTCTGTAGGTGCCAAAATGGGGGTTGTTTATGGCTGAACAAAGTTGCTATTTCAGAATCATTCAAGACATAAATTTCATTATGGAAAAGTGTATTACATTTATAGATTAACATACTGGGGCTAAAATATCATATAGTAATACAAAACTAGTTAAATAATCAAAACTACTGTGCCTCGTAGTTTAAACCTACTTCTAATGGAAGGTTCTAAACATGGGAAAAATTAATTCCATCCTAAAGTTCTTAGAAAGCTCATTAATATCGACGGTTCAAAACCATCGTGACATTTATAGCACAACTACAATCAATAGGTCTCAATTGAATACAAAATGATAAAACACCAAACCCTGTTTGCAAAAAGATTCTCCTTCTTTCTATTCTTGAACAAAGCCAATTGAAACTCTTCCTGCATATCCAATATGAACATCCAATATCACATCAGAACTAAAATCACATAAAACATATTCATGTTTTCTTAAACAATAAAAAAAATCATAATGAAAAATGCATACATTATCAGTTACAAGCCTAAAAATAAGCAAGTTGTAACTTAGATGCCAAACACACATGCGAAGATCTGTGATACGTAGCACAATATTAATTGGTACAATCTGTGCACTACACAACTTTTTCAGTTATTCACAATTTCTCCACCATCCTTCAAAGATTTTACGAACACACAGTTGCCAAAAAGGCTGCCTACAGTGTCTTGTTTTCTAATAAAAGGTAGAAAGCAACCAATATAATGAAGAATGAAACCACTCCCTCAAAAATCGCTTCTTTATTAACCATTTTAATCGTATAATAGTTACCCTAAGAAACTAGAAAGTCACCCAGAGAGAGAGAAAACATGACTGACATTACTCGATCTTGCATCCCAAGCACTGAGTTTCACATAATAAGCCCTTTACTCCTACCATGTCTACCTTCCCCCATGTTCACACGTAATTCAATATCATGGATAGGTGGTAAGACTGAACAAAATCGTTAGCATTATCAAAATTTAAAAAAAAAGGATTCACTTCCAAGTTCTCTTAATGCCTCTTCATTAGCAAGAGAATAAAATATGTCCACTCATTGCCTAGTTGGAGAAATAGTGACTTTAATATTGGAATGTGGACAACTGGTTTATAGATTGTCCAAACTCACCAATGAAAGATGCAGAGGCACACTAGCAACCACTTAATTATCTATATACATATCTTAAACATTTTGGGGCTCCAGAACATAAATGAAATATGAAATAAGAGAAGCCTTGGCTTCAAGTACTGTTGCACATTACCTTGTTTATTAGTCCATCGTCAATCACAGAACTGCTAATGCTCTTATACAGCTCGAATAATGCTTCAACTTCACTTACACTAACTGAAAAACAGGAACAGACCAACAGCATAAAAAAAAAAAAGCCAAAAACATAATGAACACCAGAAAACATATATATTCATATATTGAGCACATGAAATCAAAAAAGGAAAAAATATATATTCTGAGGGTATTTAATGAAATAAATACAGCAAGTCATTTAAGAGACTGGAAGTAATATGGTACATTTCATGTTGAGGAGAAACAAATTATTATGGATCTAAAAGGAGAGAAAAACAGATAATTCGGCCAAACCAGTATTCATTTATCAGATGATTTAATGACTCAAATAAGTAACAAATAGGCAACCACACAAATAGTAAAAAATAAAAATTAACAAAATGCAACAACAGACATCCTAAGTAAAAAATTAAACAGCTTACAAGCAGTCTGTGAAGCCAGAATTACGGGGTCCTCATGTCCAGGAAACTGCTTGCTCGCCGTAGAATGAAAACAGCCCATTAACGAAGGAACAAGAAGAAGCACGCCACTAGACTAGCGCCTAGGCTTCACTACAATATATCATCAAAACCATCTTAACCTTGCAAATTACACATCCAAATTCAAACAAATCCATACAAAATAATTAGTAAACTAACACGAATAACATCATACAAAGATTCACCAAACTTCAACATCACAAAAGGGACCCAAGTCAAACTCAAAGATCCAAAATTATTTTTTAATTATAATTCTGAACTTATCTATTCAACCCGATACATAGATGCCATAAAATTGATAGATAAATCCAAAGAACCAGTCAATGAAATTCAACTTATCCTATCCAGTGTAGTTGAATCGTGATACTTATCGTGTATTATTATATCATTTTTATGTATCAAGTATCGTATTGTATCTCATATCATATCATAATAAGACACATCAACATATATAAATACATATTAATAAAAATAAGTGTTTTCATATAATATATAAATATATTGCAAAAATAAACTATTAAATCATATAACTGTATCGTATCTCATATCATATCATAATAAGACACATCAACATATATAAATACATATTAAAAAAAAAGTATTTTCATATAATTCAACCCGATACATAGATGCCATAAAATTGATAGATAAATCCAAAGAACCAGTCAATGAAATTCAACTTATCCTATCCAGTGTAGTTGAATCGTGATACTTATCGTGTATTATTATATCATTTTTATGTATCAATACCCGTATCGTATCTCATATCATATCATAATAAGACACATCAACATATATAAATACATATTAAAAAAAAAAAGTATTTTCATATAATATATAAATATATTGCAAAAATAAACTATTAAATCATATAACCAATAATGACCAAATTGCTCAGGAAGGTATATATAAATTCATTGAGTCTTTATTTCTTCATTGATTGTAGTTCTTCGATTCTTTGCACCATCTTGATGCTTTTCTAATAATATTTGTTCCTTCTTTATCAAAAAAAAAAAAAAATCAATCAAATTATATTCATGATAGTAGTTTAATTTCTTGTATTTCTTGCGAGTGTGAATCTCCTTTGTGTGGAATTTTTTTGATAATATAATTCATGACTGTTCAATGAGTGTCAACTATGGTGATTGATAGTGAGAAAGCAGCTAATGGGGCCAAAGGTGAAGAACAATGTAAAAATTAATTAATGGTGCTATACCAGTTGAATGGCGATATGATACAGAATTGTATCTCACGATTCAAGCGCTTGTGTACTATTTTGACAACACTTTTCTAATCAAAAACCCCAAAAAAATCTATAATAATAATATATGAAAATAAAAAAATTAAAAACTTTAATTAAACGACCCAATTCCAGAATCGAGATTTTCCATTTTCTCAGGAGGCCTCGTTTGGGAACAGTTTATTTTAGTAATTTTTGTACTTTTTACAACAAAGATGTACAAAATAATAAATAAATAGAGAGAGTGATGCAACAAACTTTTTTGCCTTTTTTGGCTAAAATGTATCGGATAAACGAAAGACACCAAATTCCTTTCCGTTCCCCCCTCAATCTTCTTGTGGACCAAACGACCCAATTGCTCTGTAAACAACATAAACAAAGAAATTTCTCTTTCCGAAACTCAAAATTTTTATTTTCAAGAATCAAAACCCAACACAAAGCATTAATTTTTCTCTGCCTTCAATTTGAACCCAGAAAACCCAAAGAGCCAAACCCCTAAATTTTGAAATTAGACATTCAATCAGCATCAAAGCGGTGCAATGAAATCAACAAAAGACCCAGGAAAGTGACGTACCTGATTTACCGACCAGAAAACTGGCCAGAAAATGCTGGTTTCTAGAGAAAAGCTGTGTTGCTGTGTGTATAGAGAGAGAGAGAGAGCTGGAATGAAAAAGGGTTTATGGAGTTGTACAAAGCTTGTCCACCGAAGATTTACACGCTGTTTTGTCCAGAGAGAGACAGAGAGAGGGAGAGAGAGCCGAAGCAATGGTGGCGAAGCGACGAGAGAGACAGAAATTAAAAGGGCCGTGACGAGTGACGAGCACGAGCGGTTGAATCGCGTGGGAAAATGAGAAACTGGTTTGTTAAAGTGTTATTTAAATACAATTTGACATCTCCTATACCAACATATACGAAATAAAATAATATATTATTTAATAAAAATATAATAATTATATTTAATTTTTTATATTTTGTAAAATAAAAATTAAATAAAATTAATTAATCATAATTTTCTTAATTATTTAAAATTAAGAAAATCAAAAAGATTAGTATGAGATATTGATCATAAGGTTTCTCATTAAAAATCTCATTTTATTTATATAAGGCCTCGTTTGGGAACAAACTTTTTTAGTGATTTTTTAACTTTTTGGCTGAAATATGATGTAAAAAAATTAGTATGTTTGGATGATTTTTTGGCTTTTTCCGAAAAGATGTGCAAAAAGTAGAGAGAATAGGAAATCTTTGACTTTTTGATATAGGTTGTTGGTTTTTTGATTTTTTTAGTAAATTTTTGATTTTTTTGACTAAAAAAGTCACTTGTTAAATGAGGCCTAAATGGAAGTATAAGATTCACTTTATATAAATGAAACAATTCATTTTTTCTTTCTTTTCTCGATGTGGGATTATAAACACAAAAGTTAAATGAAAGCTAACCAATAGAGATTTTCTTAATTGTTTAAAAGTTAACAATTGTTTAGGCGTGAAGTTTATTTCGAATAAAGCAATCTTAGTCGTTTAATCTTTAATTAAGTCAATCTTTAATTTATTTCGACTCAAACAAATTTAACAAATATATTTTGATAAAACCGCTAAAATCGCAGTTAAACCAGCGAATCAGTCAGACTGAAAACGGTTCACCTATCGACTAGGTTAAAAGACCAACCAACTTATACAAAAATTAATTAATTAAAACTTTTAAATTTTATTTTAATTTTAAAATTTAAACTGTCTTGAACTGAAACATACACAATACTGCAATATTAAATAAGAGCATAAGGTTTATATAGTGAAGCAACTCATTTTTTTTTTCCCATTTTCCTGATGTAGGATTGTAAAATAAAAGTTAATAGACGTTTGAACTGAAAGTTCATTTCTAAACAAGCAAATCTCAGTCGTTCAATTTTTAATATGGTCAATCTTAGTTTATTTCAAATCAAACAAATCTAAACAATATATTTTGATAAAAACAACTAACACCGTGGTTAAATTAGTGAATTAGTCAAACCGAAAATGACTCAGCCTAATCGGCTAAATCCAAAGACCGACAAATTTACAACAAAATTAATTAATTAATTAAAATTTTTAAATTTTATTTTAAAATTTAAACCATCTTGAACTGAAACCTACACAATACTATAATATTAAATGAGAGTATAAGATTTACTTTATATAAGTGAAACAACTCACTTTTTATTTTTTTTTCTCGATGTGAGATTGTAATTATTTTTAAGTTAAATATTATGAGAGTTTTAAAATTTCATACAAAATTATTTTTAAAATCAAAACTTCTATGTAGGATTGTACAATAAAAGTTAAATGGACACTAACCAATGGAGATTTTCTTAATTGTTTAAAATTAAGAAAATAAAAAAAATGGTATTAATTATAAGGCTTCTTATTAAAAATCTTGTTTTGCTTATATAAATGGAAGTATAAGATTTACTTTATATAAGTGAAACAATTCACTTTTTTCTTCTTTTCCCGATGCGGGATTGTAAAATAAAAGTTAAATGGATATGCACATTGAATTGCAAATTGAAACTGTATTTACTAAAGTATCTTCACATTGCACGGGGTGATATACTAGGAGTATTGTACATGTGTTCTTAAACACACACACACACACACACACAAAAAAATGGTATTGATTGTAGAGTTTCTCATTAAAAATCTTCTTTTGCATATATAAATGGGAGCATAAAATTCACTTTATATAAAGTGAAACAATTCACTTTTTTCCTTCTTTTTTTGATGTGAGATTATAAAATAAAAGTTAAATGAAAACTAATCAATGAGAATTTTTACTAAAGTATCTTCACATTGCACGGGGTGATATACTAGGAGTATTGTACATGTGTTCTTAAACACACACACACAAAAAAAAAAAAAAAAATGGTATTGATTGTAGAGTTTCTCATTAAAAATTTTCTTTTGCATATATAAATGGGAGCATAAAATTCACTTTATATAAAGTGAAACAATTTACTTTTTTCCTTCTTTTTTCGATGTGAGATTATAAAATAAAAGTTAAATGAAAGCTAATCAATGAGAATTTTCTTAATTATTTAAAATTAAGAAATTTCAATAATTTATATATATTGAAACATAAGATTCATTTTATGTAAATGAAACAATTTATTTTATTTTATTTTTTTCGATTTGAGATTGTAAAATAAAAAGTAAATTAAAGTTAGCCAATAGGAATTTTCCTAACTGTTTAAAATTTAAAAAATTCAATAATTTTAGAATGAGAGTTTGGACCTTCTAAAAGGCTTATCCCGTAAAACTCATTTTATAAGATTAATTTTATATAAGTGAAACAATTCACTTTTTTGTTCTTTTCCTAATATGGGATTGTAACATTTTATATAAGTGAAACAACTCCTTTTTTTTTTCTTCTCGATGTGGAATTGTAATTATTTTTAAGTTAAACATTATAAGAGTTTCAAAATCTCATACAAAATTACTTTTAAAATCAAAACTATGTGGGATTGCAAAATAAAACTTAAATGGAAGCTCCAACGGGGATTTTCTTAATTGTTTAAAATTAAAAAAATCAAAAAAATGAGTATGAGATATTAATCAAAGGGCTTCTCACTAAAAATTTATTACATATATAAATGGGAGCATAAGATTCATTTTATGTAAGTGAAACGATTCACTTTTTCTTTCATTTTTTCGATGTGGGATTGTAAAATAAAAAGTAAATGAAAGTTAGTCAATGGGAATTAGAGAGGCATAGTTTAGGTTGGTGAATTTATCATACTCGATCATTTTGTAAACTCATATGCATATTTAAAAAAAAAAAATCAAATTCATTCTAAAGTCATGTTTATGTGATTTTAATGTAATTATCTTTAATAAAAATATATGATTGTAGACGCGCCCGCGCGTGGGGCCTCATGCTACAGTTCGGACTCGATTTGTGTCACAGTTCTTAATCTGAACCAAAGAGTCCAAATCTAGCAAATCGTTTTGAGAAACAGATTTTTGAAAAAGTAGTGCCTAATACTGTTGTAAGAACTACTCTGATGAATAGAAATGGTTGGTTTCTTTTATATCAATACATGTCTCAGGTGTTGGGTTTTATGTATTTTTTTTTTGGGGCGTTACACTTTATACTTATATAAGTGGGAATATAAGATTCACTTTATATAAACGAAACAATTCACTTTTTCTTTCTTTTTTCGATGTGGGATTGTAAAATAAAAAGTAAATGGAAGCTAGCCAACGGGAATTAGAGAGGCATAGTTTAGGTTGGTGAATTTATCATACTCGATCATTTTGTAAACTCATATGCATATTTAAAAAAAAAAAAATCAAATTCATTCTAAAGTCATGTTCATGTGATTTTAATGTAATTATCTTTAATAAAAATATATGATCTATTTATAAAATTATACGATCTATTTATAAAAATTGAAAATAAATCAAAATCAATCAATTGACCTCTTCTCCTTTCCGACATGTGCCTTGTTATATTGTCATCCATGTGGTCATAATCGTGGAATTAACTTGCATCATTGCATTTAGAGCAAAATATTGTTTTAAAAATATAATTAATTGTAATCATGCAAGCAAGATGGACTCAATTGGGGGAGATGGGTGACGATCTCTAAATTTCAAAACCCTTTTATTATTATAATAATAATAATAATAATAACATTAATTATTTAAAAAAACCTTTAAATTATATAAGTTGGCCCCTTATTAGAGAGACATATTTTCACCGTACAGCTTGGTGAACCATCAACCTAAACTATAATAAAAGCTTCCAACCTAAACTATCCCAACCTAAACAATTCACTCTATTCCAACCTAAACAATTCACTTTTTCTTTCTTTTTCGATATCGAATTTTCAAATAAAAGTAATCAATGGAAATTTTCTTAATTGTTTAAAATTAAGAAAATCAAGAAAATTAGTATGAGATATTGAAACTCTCACAAGGCTCCTCACTAAATGGGATGAGAGTATAAGATTCTTATTATATGAGTAAAACAACTCATTTGTTTCCTTCTTTTTCTACTTTGGGATTATCAAATAAAAGTAATTATTTAAAATTAAGAAAATTAAGAAAATTAGAATGAAGGTTTGGAACTTCTAGAAGGCTTATTACTAAAAAGTCCCTTTTTTTAATATATATAGATTAGCATATTAGCATATACTCGTACCTAAAGGCACGATGTGAATAATGCTGGTATTAAAATATAGTTGAAATATATATCAAATTCCAACTACCAAACAACTTAATCACATTGGTCCTGGAATTTAATCAAAACTATAAACTAACATATATAGGCTATGTTTGGCATGCCCCATTTGGGCTAAAATAGTTATATAGGACAAAATTAGCCATTTTAGCTAAATATGACAAAATATCGCATTCAAACAATAATCATTTTATTTTTTCTCTCACAAAAGTTAAAAAAGTCAAAAAGCCTATCCCTAAAGAAGACTTTTTAGCCCCAAGTTAAAATAGTCAAAAAATCAAAAAGCCAACACGCATTCCAAATGAAGGCATAGTATAAACAGAAGTACTGAGTTAAAATCTATTTAGCTACTAACAAAATGTTGAAAATACAATTATTTATTTATTTATTTTTAAATATGAACTTCGGTGATTAAATTTCTTCATATTGTCACCCAAAACCCAAATTGTGTTTTCCCTATTTGTTTTTTCCTTTTTTTTCTTTAAATTCTTAGCAACCAAAAAATGCATCGAAAGTAAATCATTCGAAAAACACCTCCTCTTACCTTGGCAATTCGAAATGAAAATCAAAACAACAACAGCGACTAAAGCAACCAAAATCAAAACAAACAATCTTACCTTGGCAGTTCGAA